TGTGTGTTCCATCTGGTGAAGTCCACGTGTACAGCCTCCGTTTGTGTTGTTGAAAAAAGGTGTTTGCAATGAACAAGTCGTTGGTCTTGCAAAATTCTACATACGCACTGCTCATATACAAGTTCAAATTGAAGCTGAAGACAATTAAAAAAACTCCACAAAAGCCAAAATATGACCTTTGTTATATCCCTCCTGAATTTAGAGACCATTGAAAGAATAAATTTCATTCATTGAACACCAATGACCAAAAACCAGAGGAATTGTGGTATGACAGCAATAACATCATCCATGAAGGAAGCAGAAGGTCATTAAAAAGACAGGAAAGGAAGAAAAGAGTGAAATGGATGTCAGAAGAGACTCTGAATCTTGCCCTTGAACAGAGAGTAGCTAAAGTAAATGGAAGAAATGAAAAGATTAAAGAGTTGAACAGAAGATTTAAAAGAGCAGCTCAAGAAGACAAAGTCAATTATTATAATGAAATGTGCAAAGACCGGGAGTTAGAAAACCAAGGGGAAGAACACCCTTGGCTTTTCTCAAGCTGAAATAACTGAAGAAAAAATTTAAGCCTCAAGTTGCAATATTGAAAAATTCTATGGGCAAAATATTGAATGATGCAGGAAACATCACAATAAGATGGAAGGAATGCACAGTCACTGTAGCAAAAAGAATTAGGAGATGTTCATCCATTTCAGGAGGTGGCATATGATCAAGAACCAATGGTATTGAAGGAAGAAGTAGAAGCTGCACTGAAGGAAGTGGTGAAAAACAAGGCTCCAGGAATTGATGGGATGCCCATTGAGATGTTTCAACAAACAGATGCTGCGCTGGAGCACTCATTCAGCTATGACAGGAGATTTAGAAGACAGCTACCTGGCCAAATGACTGGAAGAGATCCATGTTTATAGTCATTCCAAAGAAAGGTCTTCCCAAGAATATGGAAATTATTAGAACAATATCATTAATATCAGATACAGGTAAAATCTTACTGAGGATAATTCAAAGATGGTTACAGCAGTATATTGACAGAGAACTTCCAGAAAAGCAAGCTGGATTCAGAAAAGGATGTAGAATGAGGGATATCATTGCTGATGTCAGATGGATTTTGGCTGAAAGCAAAGAATAGCAGAAAGATCTTTACTTATGTTTTACTGACTATGCAAGAGTATTTGATTGTGTGGCTCATAACAAATTGTGGATAACATTGAGAAGAATGGGAATTCCAGAACATTTAGTTGTGCTCATAAGGAACCTGTACATAGGCCAGGAGGCTATCATCTGAACAGAACAAGGGGACACTGTATGGTTTAAAATCAAGAAGGGAGTGTATCAGGGTTTTATGCTTTCACCATACTTATTCAATTTGTATGCTGAGCAAATAATCTAAGATACTGGATTATATGAAGAAGAACATGGGATCAGGATTGGAGGAAGAATCATTAACAATGTGCGATAGGCTGATGACACAACTTTGCTTGCTGAGAGTGAGAATGATTTGACACTCTTACTGATGAAGATTGAAGACTACAGTCTGCAATATGGTTACACTTCAATATAAAGAAAACAAAAATCCTCACTACTGGACCAATAAGCAGCATCACAACAAATGGAGAAAAGATTGAAGCTGTCAAAGACTTCATATTACTTGGTTCTACAATCAATACCAATGGAAGCAACAGTCAAAATATCAGATGACGCATAGCATGGGGCAAGCACAGGGACTCGTAGGGGCCCTATGTACAGCAGAGGAAACACTGCCCAGTCCTGTGCCAGCTTCACAGTCGCAGCTATACATAAGCCCATTGTTGTAGCCACTGTGTCAATCCATCTTCATGAGGTCCTTCCCCTCTTTAAAGTGCTGAAGACCTCTTTAAAGTGCTGAAGAGCAAAGATGTCTCCTTGAGGACTAGGGTGCACCTGACACAAGCCATGGTATTTTCAGTTGCCTCATATGTATGTGAGAACTGGACAATGAATAAAGACAACTGAAGAAGAGTCGGTGCTTTTGAGTTGTGGTGTTGGGGAAGAATACTGAAAGTACCATGGACTGCTAAAAGAACTAACAAATCTTTCCTGGACGAAGTGCAGCCAGAATGCTCCTTGGAAGCGAGAATGGCCAGACTTCATCTTACCTACTTTGGTCATGTTGTAAGGAGGATCCATTCCCTGGAGAAGGATATCATGCTTGGTAAAGTGGAAGGTCAATGAAAGAGGGGAAGGCCCTCATCAAGATGGATTGACACAGTGGCTACAACAATGGGCTCAGGTATAGCCGGGATAACGTGTCAGCTTCAGCTGGCACAGGCCTGGGCAGTGTTGTCTCTGCATACATAGGAGTCCCTATGAGTCAGGGATGACTAGATGGCACCTAACAAAAACAACAACAATCTTTAAAGAAGCAGACTGCCACATCTTCCTACCATGGAAAGGCTAAAGAATTCAAATCACCGACCTTTCAATTAGCAGCTGAACACTTAATCACTGCACCACCAGGACTCCTTAAACATTTTATATTGATCCAACAGGGCTTGAGAATGTCTGTGTCATGGGACAGATTAGGAATGCCCAGGACCTGTAAAAGGACTTTCTTTTTTTTTCTTTTTGTTGTGATTTAGGTGAAAGTTTACAAAGCAGATTCATTTTCCATACAGCAGTTCATACACATTTTGTCTCATGACATTGATCACAATTCAGCACAATGTAACAGTTCTCTTCCCACTTTCTCCCCATAGTTACCTCTTCCCTGTATCCTTCCTTCCCATGTACTTCCACCCCCTGAGCTGTCTCCCTGTGCATATACTGCCCTTCTGTTCTCCCATGACTGAGCATTCCAAGTAGTGAATCTACGTGATGTAAATGTTCACCCCATATGCCTGTCTATTTTTTTGGCTGGAGGTCACAGGAGTGAGTTCAATTCCAGACCTGAAGGATAGCTAGGGTAGCCATAGTCTCAGGGGTCTCACCAAGCTCTATCAGACGAGCAAACCTGGTCTTTTTTTTTTTTTTT